AGGGAGGGGGGAGCGCGGAAACTGCGGGGGCTGTGGCTGTGACCCCGCGCCCGCTCCACCGCCGGAGGAAAGGGCTCAAGTCTGTTGTTACAGTAGCACCCAGTGTAATCGGTGTAACACCCAGCGTCATCATCAGGGGCTTGTCTATTTATGTCAAGTACATGCACGAGATACCTCTCAAATTCTTCTCTTTTCCATTCAAATCCTCGCAGTGCGTCCATTTCTACTGGAATGGAATAAGTATTCCCACAGTGACAGCAATGAATGTATTAACTTGGGACTGGATGTCCTCTGGAGTATTGCAGAGGAAATCTGACTTGAGCTAGAAAGTTATGACCTAAACATGACACAAAGAGGGAGGACCAGCTTCTCAGGTGCTGAAGATGGCAAGCAGAAAAACAGAGATGTAAAAAAAAAATATAGAACAATGTATAGCTGAAGCGTTGCTGTTACTATGAGCTCTAAAGAGTGTTGGGGAAAGGGCTACATTGATGACAAACCTCAGAAGCTATTTCTATGTATTTATTTGAGTGAGGTTTCAAAGCACTCAAGAAGTGCTCAGAACCAGAATGAGTCCATTATCATGAAGGATCTGTAGAAAAGAGACAGCAGGCTGGAGCTGAAAGAAAGATTTATAAGTCAAGGTGTGCAGAAAATATAGTGTTCAAGGAAGTTTACAAATGTTAGAGTTTGACTATGAAGTATTAGGGCAGTTGCATTATGCTGAGTTTAAGTAACTTCCCTTGAGAAAGAGGAAAATATTGGAACAGGTTAGAGGTGTTTCCGTAAGCACCATCAGCAACATCATCACCACATGTGCAAAGCATAGGGTTTGTTCCCAGCAGCATCTCCCTCTATTCTTCTAGTTGACAGGGCCATAACTTTCAAACCATTCTATAATCTTAGTCAGATTGCTTCAAATAGGGGATTTCAGACAGTGATGACAACATACAGCTCCTCATGAGGTCAGGATTCATCAGAAAATGGAAAACTATGTCTTGAACTAAATACAGAGAAGTAAAGAATTTTTCAGACTTTCTGATGAATATGAAAGACATTGCATTTGTGAAGAATACAGGGGAAGCAATGTATTCCCCCTGCCAAGCAATGTGGTTTGCCAACAGGTGCTGGATTGCCAAATGCATGAGCCACTTCAGCTGGCAGAATGCCCTGATGAAATCATCTTATTTGGCAGCTCTAGATTTCTAATGAACTGGTTTCCTAATTCCATAGCAAGAAGGATCAGTGTCCCGTGGGAACTTTGCAGGAAGGGTGGTGTCAAAACCACACCTAGAGCACGAGATAGCATCACTGATGTGCTTTACGGGATCCTGGGTATCATTGTCCTAAGAGCTGGCCTTAAGAAGGATAAATTAGGAGAAGCTGATTAAGTGAATCATCCCCTCTGTTATTTTGGACTCTGGCAGACTTCTCAGCATTGCCTCTCAGCAATGGAGAGGGATGTTTTGGGTTTCGACCCTTACGTTTGCTTTCTCCTTCATATACAGAGTAAAACGGTGGGGACTGCATAAGTTTTATTGCATAGTGTGTGGCTTGAGCTAGCCTAGATGAATCAACGGCAAGGCCATTTAGGTCTGGTGGCTACAACTGTAGAAACAGTCAGGTTTGAGTATCTGTATTCACTTATATGGGGGTAGGGGCCACCTGCCTGTGGCAGTTTCTCTCTGCTGTGCTGTGATTTATTATGACAGAAGCCAGGGTTTGTGTTATCTCACCCCGCTGCTGAGACAGTGATTATGTTCTTTACCTTGACATTACTTGATGCAGTGCTCTCTCTCCAAGTTGGTGTTTGCAGGATTTCTGTGTTTCTGTAGGAATTCTGCCAGCACCTGGAAGGTAAGCCCTGCAGTAGGCACCTCTGCATTAAGAATGAAAGCAACCACAGAACCACCTTGGGAAAGATCAGAGGTAAGACCAGACTTCCTTTTCCTGGCAAAAATACCATGCCCACTCCTAGAAATAGTAATATAAAAACCCACCCC